TCCGCCTTGGCCTTTTCGACCTTGGCCAGCAGCTTGGCCCAGGGCTTTTGGGCCTTCTTGAACAGATCCTCGAGGTCCTTGCGCTCCTTGATCTGCATGAGCGTGTGGTGGTAGTTCTCCTTCTGCCACGTCTTAATCTGGCTGTTGACATCGTTGCACAGGTTATCCTTGATCTTCATGTGAACGTCGGAGATGCGCTCCGATTCGGTCAGCACGCCCTTCCAGGCCGCCTCCGTGGTTCCGTATTCCGGCCCTGGAACAAATCAAGTATCGGTTATATATCTCTTATAGCGATTCTCAATTAACAACAGATTACAAGCGTGTCGCCAAGTCGAGCTGTCTGCCGCTGACGTCATCGTGGGCCCCTCGGGCACTGGGTTTATCTAATCAGCCGCAGCCGCAAGATATATTTGTAGCCAAAGCTATAGGTATGGCAAATATAGTATGCTCGGTGGAATGAGCGCTTGTATGGGTGCTACGCGATCGAGGAACATCGCACATTTTTGGCATTTTTTATTGGGCTTTTATTGGGCGCTAGCACACCGCAATCAAAATTGATATGATGCTCGTCTTATAATTGGCAGTGCACGAAACTCGTTTGCCTAACGACTCACTATTCCCAATTCCCCCTGCCAAGACACACAGACAAAGATATATAGAAATTGAGACGCTTAGCACAGAAATAACTCGTTCTATTTTTCCCGTCGCATTGATTTTTGAAACCATTTCAAGCGACGCTTTGGTGCCGGTTTGCTTTGGTGCCGGGCAATGGGCAATGGGCCACTGGCCAGCGCTTCTGCCTCTCAGTCTCGCAGTCTATCTATCTGTATATCTGTATTCTGAATTCTCGTATCTGTATCTTTGGCCCAGACGCAGCTAGGCAAATTCCGCACAAATACGTTGGCCAGCTAAGAAAATACAGAAAGAGGAGGCAGAGGAAGTGGTAGTCGCTTTTGCAATTGCCCATTGCTGGTTACTGTGAAAGTGGACACTGAGAATTCCGTGCAGAGGCGGTCACAGAAAATAGCAGCTATAGAAACAGCAGCAGCAGCAATGAGGCAAAGCGGTTTCCAACTTTGCAAGCGCTGTACTCGATTTCATTTCACGAAGAAGCGCGCACACTGTGCCGGACATCCGCCAAAAATGGTCAGAGACTCAATTCCATAAATAAGGAATAGGAATGGACTATTGAGCGCCAGTCAAACCAAGAAAAACAGTGCCAAAAAAAGAGGAGAACTCACACAAACGGTTTAAAAATAGGTTTCTTATCAAGAATAGGAGAAGTAGGTATTTATGGAGCTTAAAGTCACAAGTACTCAATTGTAATTAAAAAAAAATTCCTAAATATCAAAAAATAAAATAGAAAATCTAAGGAAAATCCTATTGTTTACTTAGATGTATTTTATCTTTTATTAAGTATCTCTTTTTGGCACTTCCGTGTGCGTTTGAACAAATGTTTACATTGGTTAATCTAAACACTTTGCTTTCCTTGCTCATTAGCATATTTTAATAAATTGGGCCGGCAATTTTGAACCACAGTGCAAAGCTTTTGCTGAGTACAACCGACAAAAAACGAGGTAACGAAAAACGTAAAAAAAAAACCATTAATAGCTTAAGCCACTTATCGCACAACGGCAACAACAATGCTCAGAATGATGTACAGAATGTGGAAAATAAGAACAGCCAGTGGGCCAAATAAGTGGTGGGAATTCAACGTGAGCGGGTCACTTGATGCTCCACTGGGCTTCAAGCCCGTGAATGAATGTGTTAACAAATAGCAGGCTTACATGACAGATGTTGCCTCATGACCACCAATCACCAAGCAACAACAACCCACTCACCTTTCTCAATGAGTTCACCCCATTTCTTTGACCAAGTGCGCAAGCTTTTCGCATATCCCTTCTCGATTTCGGCACGCTCCTGTATCAGTTGCTGTAGGTCATTGCAGAGTCTGCGGGTGAAATGAGACAAAAATCATAATAATGCAAACCGGTTTTGTTTTGGGTTTGGGTTCGAGTTCCGATGGATTCAGCTGGCAATGACCCAGCGATCCGAGTGCTCGTGCACAGAGAAAAACTTGGTCATCAACTTGGTCATTAAATGTAAATAATTTATAATTTAAATATCTCTCGAGAACAAATCAATGGCAAACATGATATCATAGGTAGATTACGTTTACGTACAATCAGCTTATATAAATAAACAGTTTTATTTTCTTTAAAAGATATTGTTATTCAATACAATATGATGGTATTTCATGACCTACTCAAAGTTAAATACGATCATTTGGTATTCTACAAACGTTAAACGACCAAAAGTTTTTTAACATATTATGACGAAATTTGGATGACCTAACAGATATAATACGTTTTTCTCTATGCATGAAGACTCCCTGGGGATTATCCACTCACTTGTATCCATCTTCGATCCGCTTGGTGGTGCGTTTATAGTTTCCTGGCTCCCAGAAGGAATCGCTTCCAGCCTGCAGGAGCTGATCATCGCTGTGGTGGGACATTTCCTGTGGGTTCCAATCGATATTAATCAATCACACACATGCGGAGCTTAAGCGCAGTAATCATAAAATATGAGTTTCGGTTACGTAAATAGACGCTGTCGCCATAAACAACATCCACACAGCAGCAGCAGCAGTAAGAGCAGCAACAAAAAAGGCTCTTTGTTTATACGCAAACTTGTATTTTCGTAGTGTTTATCTTGGTTAAACAAATCGTTTGTTAAACAATATACTACTTATGTACACCAAAACGAGTCAAGCGCCGAGTAAATTAATTGTTTGCCTAATTTGATTCGATTAAGAAATTCCTGGACATTGATGCAACAGTCAGAACTTTAATTATTGGAACTTTATCAGCGACCGTATTTCTTGTGGGTTTTGCCGAGTGTCCCCATTGATAAAGACTGGACTTATCACCCCTGACTCATTGTGAAACCTATAGTGCACACAAATTATCACCTTGATCTGGATATCATTTTAAAATGTAAATAATAAGATATTTTGGCTACTCATGCTATTTATTCTTTCTATACTCTTTTCTTTCTTTTATCAGTAGATTATCTTAGAAAACCGTCAATTATTTTTAAACCGTCTATATATTATATCATTTTTATGCTTTTGGCTTTCCACAGGGAAGTTTCCTATCTTATCAGAGAAGTTTTCCTGAATGTTTGTATATTTAAATGATTTATAAAAATCAAATTGAAATGATAAAAATATAGTTAAGATATGCTTTGACATTCTGTTATCTGGTCCCAAAATAATCAAATTTCTTATCGTATCTTATCAGTCTTTTCTCTATGTGTAGGGTATTATTTTTTGTACTTTCCGGTGGGAAAACAGGGTATCTTATCAGAGGAGTTTCCCTGCATCAGCTGTTTGTAAACAATGCAGGCGCTTTAAGTTCCACTCACACACCCGCATTACCGTATAACCGTTATGTTATCAGCAGACATTGACCGGTTATATGTACAATAAACATATACATACATATATACATAATAATAGTAGCTGGAATTTAATCACCGCCACACAATGACTCTCGGCGATTAATGACGACTGGTGGTGAGTCGAGTTTGGAATCTGGAATCTTGGGTTGACTTGATTTGGGCGTCATCCGAATATACGATGCGCTTACGGGTTTTCCTCATCATCGGCTATAAATAAGCAATGCAAAGTCGCGGCTCCTTGCGATTTTCGTGTTTCGTGAGTGGAAATGGCCAACAGAAAGTTTACAAACAGGTTGACGCATACTTCGCATATTTGTGGAGATAGATAAGCAACTTTACGGCTCACACACACACTCGCCCGCAGACTCACGCACACCTAAACTAACACGTCGCACACTTGAGAGCGATAAGAAAACCCCCCTCCCCATGCCCCTGCCCAATCCATCCCACCTCTAGGAAACTCGTTTATCTTTGAGATTGAACTTGTCTCCCCGCCGTTTAACTGTAAATATTTGCATCGTTTTCCAGTACACCTTACATAAGGTTCTAGGGTGCTAGTGCTACGATTAAAATGGGTTGCTTTGCACTAATTTTTAGCAGGCGAAGCGTACGAAGAGCACTTGCTGGCCGATTGGATTTTGTTGTTGCCAGACGCACACCGACACGCACACAGGCACACACTCTCGGGGCGCACACACACACACTGCGAAGCGAAATTCCGCTACACCCAAACGCGTTTACACGAAATGTTCTAAATTGCGATCGCTTTCGTTCTTGCTTTTGCTGCTGCTGCGTTGCATTTTGAGTCGTTGGTAAATAATCCCCGTTTGTGTCTTTTTTGGCAGCCTACTCCGAGCTAGGGCGACCACCTACCAAATAACAAAATAGCGTAAAAAAGCACTACAACTCGAGTGTGTGTCTGGAATCGCCAAAAACTAAAAAAACTATGTGTAGTATGACCGTGCGGGGTCCGTTACAATATACCGAGCGGCGAGTAGAAAAATACTTAGCACGAAATAACGAAAATATATCAAGATTTAATTAAATTTAAATTAATTTATAAGGGGCGTTATGTTTTTAATTTATTTATTAACGGAAACTGACATATAAAATAAATCAATTAGTTGTTTTTCTTTTTAGCAGGGACAAATAATTAATTTAAATATTAGGGTGACCATTTGCCATTGCATATTTATTGTTCAAATGTAGATGGGGGTGGGGCAAAACCGACAAACCATAAAAATAAAATTATTTTTAAATTCTTTATTCTGGATATGCAAAAAAAGAAGTCATAAACTCACTTTTTATAACATTTAATTAATAACAAAAGTAGAAATTAATTCGATCTTAAAACTAATTCCTTTTTTACTTTTTAGTCTATAAATAAATTCTAGAGAACTTGATTTATTTTTTGAACAGTTCTCACAAATTCAAACATTTATCTTGCTACTTACGAAGAGATGCAAAAAAGGCTGCATCATAAGGTCGAACATCGCTTCCATTTTTCAGGATAAAACCCAGGAGGAAAAACACAAGTATATGGAATTTGGAATTTTATATTTTGACAGAAATCTCAGAGGACCTCTTCCCGCGCCACATACGACAGCATGAACTCGATCTTGCGCACCAGCTGCGCCAGCTTCGTGCGATCCAGCTCAACACTTCCGCTGGCCAGGGCGAATAGTTTCTGGAACTCGGCTTCCTGCGGATTCTTTCGCCGGCTCATGGCCTTTGTCTGCTGTAGGAGGTGGAGAACATCGCTCAGGGCGGCCAATTTGTGGTCCCTGGTGGCCATCAACTGGCGGGCATCCTGCTGCAGTTGCTCGCGGCTTTCCACGAGGAAATTCGCTCCTGCTCCCGCACTTCCCACGGCTGCGGCACCCGCAGGACCATTGCCCGTGGTGATGGCCTCCATCTCGACTGAGACAATAGCGTCCTCGGCATCCTCGAAGTTGGTGCCATACTTCAAGGTGGCGCTGAGATTCACAAGATGGGCCACCGCTTCACTGGCATTGGTTCTCTGTTCGCCGCCAAAGAAGCGAGCCACGCATGCGTAGGCGCTCAGGATGTTCCACAGATTGAAGTGCAGGCACGGCGAAGGAGTCTTTTTGCAAATGTCCGAGAACTTGGCAATATTCGCATATATTTCAGGGGCAGAGCTCTCCTTTTTGGCAGCCTCTTCGGGCGTGGGAATAACCACTATCTTGGAGTTCTTCGGCTTGTTCCACCAGGGCTTGTAGTCCGGCATGAGCTTCATGATGTCGCCGTTCGTGATTAGTTTCTGGAACTCCTCCTGCTCCTCCGTGGTGAGCCGGCTCCAAACCTCATCCGCATCGTTGATATCGACGCCTTTAAGTCGAGCTGCTATGTCTTCTTCAAGCTCTTCTTCCAGTGGATCTTCTGCTTCAAAGCCGTTCTCTTCCCCATCATCTTCTTCTGGTTCTCCTTCCTCGCCGCCGTCCGAATCCAAGGGATTTTCCAAGCCATCTGTATCAAAGTCCTGCGGGTTGAAGCCTCCTTCCGATTCCCGCATCCTTTTTAGTATGTCGTATATTTTCCTCACGTCCTCCTGGCTCTCCTGCGTTACCGTGGCTCCGGACAGTTCGTCCTGAATGCAGGATTTGTAGAATTCCTCAGAGCATTTGAGGTGCTCCTTGGACTTGTAGCATCCCACACTGCAGTAGAGCGCATTGCATTTGGGGCAGGAGTACTTGAAGGGCACTTCTCGACAGCTGACGGTGATTAGATAGTTTAGCAAGTTATTATATAAAATGCTTATTAATTACTCACAAATGACACTTTTCTTCGGCTTCCGACATGGTCAAATATAATGAGGTAAACAAAATAATGCGGTTGCAAACAGCTGGTTTCTGAGTATGACCGCAATATCATTTTGTGTTACCATAAAATCGGAAACGGTTTAAAAACGGTTTTTTGAATATGAATATGGATATTGAATAACTATCCATAATCATATTCAAAAAACCGTTTTTATTAAATGTTTATTTATTGTATTTTGTAATTATTATGTGATCGGTCAATTAATTGAGGAATCTATGCAAATTAAGCAAGTATATTCTGGATAACAGCGAATAGGACCAGATATAACTCAAAAAGGGTGTCATCATTACGTATTCAAATTTAACACCTAATATTTAGTATAAATATAATAAATCTTTAAATGTGGTCTTAATAATAATTCAAACTAGGTCATAGCTTTTGAAATTTAATATATCTAGTTTTTAATAAATTCCCACTTATATAAAAGCTTGATGGGAAATATGTCGCTACCACTGCTTAAATAATTAGAAAACTAAAAAGAAAGCCTATAAAATATATCTTACATTTTAAATATGACCGTCTAACCCACCCACGCAACGCGTTTAGTGTTACCCTCGCGACGGACCGGCGCAATTCCCGCGCGCAGTAGGACCGTCCGCCCGCGCCAGGCCGCCCTCGGTTTGTTTTATAGCCAAACGCTGGTGGAGCGCAGCCAGCAGAGAATAATCACAACGTGTTCGCGAAAGACCAGACTTCGACTTCCGAGTGCCCGAGATCCGAGACCGAGACCCGCGTTCCGTGCTCCGATCCGCTCCCATCCGATCTGATCCGTTCTGCTCCGCTCCGGGGAAATGTCAGCCACCAACGGCACGCACTACGAGCAGCTGCACCAGGGCCGCACCAAGATGTACAAGTCCAAGGTGGACGTCGTCCTGGGCGCCCAGTGGGGCGACGAGGGCAAGGGCAAAGTGGTGGACATGCTGGCCTCCGATGTGGACATTGTGTGCAGGTGTCAGGTGAGAACATGGCATAACCGCCGAGAGGGGGGACAATCAAGAGGCACTGATATCGCTCGGATATCCTTGCCCAAGGACATCCCGGCCAGCCACCCAGCATCTGCGTATTTCACCAGATGAGCCACCTTTTTCCAACCCAACTACACACTATCGCTCTTTTCGGCCGCCGCCGCATGCTTTCCCATTTGTATTTATCAATTCTGCCATCCCGCCATGTGGCTGCGTCTGTGTGTGTCCAAGTCCGTCCGTGGGCCTGTTTGTCCAAGTGTTCGTGCCGAGCGCGCATGTGTGCGCCTATCCCCCCTTCCCTCCCACCACCCATGTGCTGGTGTGTATGCCGCAGTGCTGCCCGCGCAGCGGTTTTCACGCCGCATCTGGCTTGTTCCGGAGGTCAGGAACTAGCCAGATGCAGCAGGTGCCGTAAGCCAAGATCAGATAAGGTTTTAGAAAACCTATATTCCTACATTCAGTAGAGAAATTATCATTCAAAGAAATGTTTTAGTAAACAAAGGCCTTTTCATGCGAACGTATTTTAAACCCAAACATTTTTTGCTTACCTTGAGATAGAACTCCGATTCATTACATTATGTAATTGTGTATACCAACTCAGGAACTTACTTACGAACTTTTAAAATATAGGTTTTTGGAATGGTTTCGATTATATTCTTAACGACAGTTTAAGCTATTATTTGAATTTTTTCAGTTATGTTGTTTGAATTAAAAATTCACATAAAATCATTTGTTTTTCACGACTTAATGACTTCAAATTAACTTAATTTTTGTTAAATTTAAATTTTGAACATTTTTTTAATGCTTACACTTTTGTTGACTGATAGACCTCAGTTGCAGTATCATAACAATAGGGTTTACCACCTTTTTCTACAAACTTTTCCAAGTAGGGTTAGTCCCACTACCTTAATACACCCAAATCGCACTGGGATCTTTAGCTATTTCTGCCAACACCACTATTATTCCGTCAGCAAGTCTGCCAACAATGCTGGCGCAGCAAAATTCGTCACTGGTGCTGGGCGTCTCTTTCCCGCCTGAATCGCCGTCTCTTTCGCGGCTGACGTTAATTCCTATTCCCGTCCCTGTTTCACACATCTGTGCTGCTCGCCCGACGAACCGCCAAGTTTACATAACCGCCAACATCATTCACCAGAAACTTGGAGACTTGGTCGTAGAACCTGTGGAAATGCAACCAGTGCAGAATCACTGACTTTCCGACGAGCCATATTTTCCAGAACGCCGGGCAGGCTATTCAAACATCCGTGGGGATTAGGGCATTGCGTGTTATTAATGGATTGTTTATGGCGAGCAACTTGTTGATTTCTCAGAACCACCTACGCAGTTCAATGGACGATATGCCGCCGAGAGGAGGCTCTATCCATCAAAGTGGCTCAGCAGACTCGAAGAGGTCTTATCAGTGCGCCCCCTTATATAATAACATCCCCAGTTGATTATCGCACTGAGTCACACGACTGACACGCCCCTACGGCGAATCCGATTACGACATTATATGTATGCTGTACACAATACTCTCTATTCTCTATTCTGAATTCCGCATATTGCGTCGCGAAAGGCCACGGACGGGAACTGGAACCGGGAACCTAGGAACTTAGGAACCCTCGATTGCGATCTCGCCATTTCCCAGTATCTTATCACGGGCTAAAAGCTATAAGCCCTCTCCTTGGCACCGCGTAAACATTTTGATTATCTTGTTTTTGGTTTTTAGCAATGATTTGTGAAGGTTCCAGAATTTTCACTCTCCTTCTGCCGCTAATCATTTTTTTTTCGTATTCACCTTACAGTGTATATGTATAATATAGAAAACAAATTTTGTTAGATTAGCAAAATGTAGACATTTTTTGTACAGTTGCCAAAATGAAAAGGAAAAACACATTAAATTTCTCGAGTGCTTACGTGATACAGTCGTTATAGTTATCTGTATATGTGGAAACGTTTTCGTTTATTGTCATTTGATATTTGTGGGCACGTGGGACAAATACATGCATATAATTCCCCTTTCGATGGGCTCTGTGCTTTTCAATTTGCAAAATATACCTATATTATTTATTTATTTTTCACACAAGCTTTGTTTTTCTTCTCTGCCACCGAACAGGCAAAAGCAAAACAAATAATGCTAATTTTGTATATCAACACCTATACCTATTTGTATACATATCTGGGAAATGTAGTGCTCATTTTTCAATCTGTTCTCTCCGCAGGGCGGCAATAATGCTGGACACACTGTGGTGGCCAATGGCACGGAGTTCGACTTTCATCTCCTGCCCAGTGGAGTTGTGAACGAGAAGTGCGTTTCCGTCATCGGTAAGTTGAGAGCCTGGACCTGGAAAATATAGCCAGGATCTGCAAGGATCGATGCAAGCAAAAACAGCGGTTCTATACTATAGACTCTATAGAGATGAATATGTATCAATGAAAGTAAGCAGGCGTCTTCCCATTTTGATTTCATGATTTTTGATTTAAATTTAAAATATGTACAGATATTTTCATTGTAATATAGGCTTATAGATAGAAGTAATGATAATACAGCCTTTAAATTTTTACATTGCGTTCTTAGTAATGATTTTTCAAAAGGTGACCCCAATCGTTTCCAAATGAAGATTTTAAATCTACTGAGCTTCAGCCAGTAAACTTTATATTTTGATAAGTAAAATATATAGTTAGGTTTGTCAATGAAAATAAGAAAGCGATTCCTTTCCTTTACGCCATTCCACTTTTGTTTTCTTGATTTGAAATTTAAATATATATACAGAATTTTCGCATACAGTATAGGTCGTTTGTTTTGCTTTTAGTTTTGACTCTCTCTGCGGCAAACTGAAATTGAACGTATCGAGCAAACATATATGCAGCTATATATTTATTCCGATATATGTGCATATACAAAGGCAGATGTAGGCGAGGAATTTCTGGCAAGATTTAGTGCATCATTGACATTGGCTTGCGGGTCAGTTGGTCTGTTTTTCGACTTTGTTACGCTGCATGCCCATGAAAATGAAAGGTTTTCTCTGTTCTATTTCTGTAGATAAGCAATTGAGATTAATTAAATCAGAGTTTTTATATGCATGTATATTACCTTTGTGTCAGCCAGTGCCAGAGTGACGTCACCGACTGTCACCGCCAAGGTCGCTTGTTTGTCAATATTTTCGCAACTTTGTCAAAGTTTAATCGATGTTGCAAGTAGGGTGTGCGGTTGGGTGTGGGTGACACTGTTTGTCCAGAGCAACAACCCAATCCGCACTGTCATCGCTTGTCACAAGACTAATTTGTGAGATAGTCAGCGACGACGAAACCCCATAACAATTCCCCGAGAGCTTTTGCCTTTTAGATATCGTTTATGACACTCAACCACAGACACACTCAGGCTCACATGTAGCGGAAAATAATTCTAATCAGGCAATTAACTTATTATTTTTAATTTCCCAGCCGCTGGGAGCTCAATTCCAAACGACCCCGTTCGCTGAGTCGCCTCGCGTGCCTTGGCATTATGATTTCCAAATTGGTTCCATTCCGTCAACTTGCCTGTTTGTTATGAAACAATGTCTTTCCCCGATTTAGATATCAGCCTTTTAAAGTAGCCAAGCCTTTCGATTTGTCTAGCCGTTCTTAAGTGACTTTAAAGTTAAACCAATAACCCCTTATCTTGATAACTTTTTATAGGGACCCTTAAAGAAAGTCCATGTATTGAAAATTAATTCTAGGTGATTAACGAAGAACGGTTATAAAAGCTTTTAAACGCAACACAAAAAAATTCTGGGGAATTTCAGACCTCGATATCAGTTTATCACTTTAAGTTATAGGTTCTATATTTTTTATAAACCCTAAATTAATTAAAAGACATTGAAGCTACTATCTTAATTATAGATCTAAGTTGGTTATGAGATGGACAATTTTGGATAGTTAAGTTTCTTTTATAGGATGAAGAAGACATTCAAAACCGCGATAAAAAATTTCAAATAATTAAAATTCATACTTATTGGACAACAAAAAATTTTTAAAGTACACATTTTTTTACAGTACACATTTAAAAACGTGTAAAGTTACCCGTTGTTCTTCTAAGCGGTTCTCGAGATATACTAATTTGAAGTTTGAGAACATTTTTTAAGTGCTTAACTTCAAAAATGCAAAGCGCCCCTAAATGGACACCAAAAAATTTAAAAAAAATCACAGATGATAACCAAGGCAAACTCTTCAAAGTACCGGAGTTTGAAGAAAATCTAAAATTTCATATGCGCAGTTGAGAAATTCTTAACCAGATGATAGAAAAGAATATTGTATTTAGGACTATGTTAGGATTAGACTTTTTTGGTAATAAGAAGTTGAAAGAGTGAATCTAAAATATTATTATTTTAAATGTCAATTACCGAAATGAATTGCTATAAAATTGCAGAACCCAATTTGGGAACCCCCTCTTACGTAAATCACACTGCCTTTGCAATCGCATGACACCCAACTGCAGTCGTCTGGTTATTTATTACTCATTTAATGCACTGCTCTGCAGATGGGGAAATCCCCCGAAATAAGAACGAATACTAAAACGATTTTGGCTTGACATTTACAGGCAACGGCGTCGTCATCCACCTGCCCTCGCTGTTCGACGAGGTGCTGAAGAACGAGGCCAAGGGGCTGCAGCATCTGGAGAACCGTCTGATCATCTCGGACCGTGCCCACCTGGTGTTCGACTTCCACCAGCATGTGGATGGCATGCAGGAGGCCGAGAAGGGCGGCAAGTCGCTCGGCACCACCAAGAAGGGCATTGGTCCGGCCTACTCCAGCAAGGCCACCCGCAATGGCATCCGAGTGGGCGAGCTGCTCGGCGACTTCAACCTGTTTAGCGACAAGTGAGAGGAGTTGATGTGCCCGGGGAACTCGGGGAACCCAGATTCTAACCGCCCTCTTTAAATCCCCGCCCCCCAATTAGGTTCAAGTCGATTGTGGCCACGCACGTGCGCCTGTTCCCATCGATTAACGTGGACGTGGAGGCGGAGCTGGCCCGCTACAAGGACTACGCGGACAAGGTGCGTCCCTATGTCAAGGACACCATTTGCTTCCTGCACACCGCCCTGCGCAACGGCAAGACGATCCTGGTCGAGGGCGCCAACGCGGCCATGCTGGACATTGACTTCGGCACGTATCCGTATGTGACGAGCAGCAACTGCAGCATTGGCGGGGTTCTCACCGGTTTGGGTCTGCCCCCGCAGACAATTGGCGAGGTGATTGGCGTGGTCAAGGCCTATACGACACGAGTCGGCGACGGGCCCTTCCCCACCGAGCAGCTGAATGTGAGTGGTTGATTTGTTAACTCCCTCCAAAATACTTTGCTTATCATTTTCTCTTCTAATCCAGGAAATTGGCGACCTGCTGCAGACGCGCGGCTTCGAGATCGGGGTCACCACCAAGCGAAAGCGCCGCTGCGGCTGGCTGGACATTCCGCTGCTGAAGTACACCTCGCTGGTCAACGGCTACACTTGCATCTGTCTCACCAAGTTGGACATTCTCGACACGCTGCCCGAGATCAAGGTGGCGGTGGCGTACAAGAAGCCCAGCGGCGAGAAGCTCGACCACTTCCCAGGCACCATTGCCGAACTGGGAAGCATCGAGGTGGAGTACGCCGTGCTGCCCGGCTGGCAGACATCCACCGAGCATATCCGCAACTTCAAGGAGCTGCCGGAGAACGCCCAGAGCTATGTGCGGTTCCTGGAGAGCGAGCTCAGCGTGCCCGTGCGCTGGGTGGGCGTCGGAAAGGGCCGTGAGTCCATCATCAACGTGCATTAGCCAGAAAGCGACTGGTGCCGACGTACTTATGCCTACGAGTTTGTGTATATGAGACGGAAACGCTAAGGGAGCCCTTTAACTATCCAACTACAGACCTAACCCACACAGAAAAATACAACTAATATTTCGACTATCTACAACATTTGGACACAAATTATTAGCCTATTGCTTCTTTAAGTTATACTTCTTAGTTTTGATGTTCACAAAATCATTTGGAGCGGTGCCGTCCGGGGCTCGCACGCATATATACTATACTATAACTTCTTGTTTGATGAGGACGTACTTAGTTTTTAAGATCATCAGGTGCAGTTTCAGATTTTTTGTATGCAAAGGGAAGCAGATATTTTTTATTGTACAATAACTAAATGATGTTGTTTTAATATTTAAATACAACAGTGTGCTCTGACTTGTGTAATTGTGTCGCAAGCTAAATACATTTTAAAGTCTAACATGAAATTGTGTTTTTTGTTTGGTAATTGGAAATGTTTATTTAATCGGTAATAAATACATATATAAAAAGTCGTTGGTACAGGGTTAAAAATATCGGATTTATATCGAGAGTTCGTTTGTTTAAAGATCGCTTTTGAACTACACTTTTTAAAGGCACTATTTGTAGTTTTTCTGGAATGATTAGGTTATCTTACAGAAATGTTGATATGTAGAGATTCGATAGTATTCAAAAGCTTATTTTCTAACTGGATAGAGAAAAGTATATGCATTTTAGTGCTATATCTCCTTTTAACTACCCTTTGTATAGGCATTATTCGTCAGTTTTGTAGAATGATCAGGTTATTTTACACAAATACGTACAAATTTTAAAATATTCGAAAAGCTATTTTGTAATTGGACGGAGAGGAAGTTGTATGAGTGCATCATTAGCTTTTTAGGCTTTATAGAAATTGGAAAACCTATTTTGTAATTGGACGGAGAATAAGTTGTATGGATGCTTTATAGGCTTCTTAGTGTTATATATCTGTTTGAATTCCTCCATGTGGAGGCGCAGTTGGAGTAACTCCTGGTTGAGGACGCCGTGGACGACTGGGTTCAGGTGCAAAATAGGATTGCGCCGAAGTAGACGGCATAGCTGCCTCCTTTGCCTGTTCCTGATAGTAGTCGTCTCCGTATTCACTGACCTCCCGGTTGCTAATCTCGTTCAGTCGCTTGTACCTTTCGCGCCGTGCCTCCACCATGTTGAGTACTCCGGCCGGCATGAGGAGCACAGCTCCAACCACGCCCAAGGCAAATGACCAGCCCATGTCGTTGTTCTGCCAGCCGGGCATCCAGTCGCGGGAATCTCCTTTAGCGCCGAAAATCACAACGGCAATGAATCCGAGAACTGAGCCCACAACCTGGCAGGATCCGATGGCCAGCAGCAGCACCATATACCGATCATCAGAGCGAGAGGTGCGAAGAAAGGCTATAGTGAGTGGCACTATGATGATGCACATGACCAGGCACAGTGTGGCGAAGAACTGAACGGCTATGTAGAATCCGGGCAGCAGAAAGTCGTGTATGATGTAGTACTCCTCTTCAAAGACCCACATGCATCCGTTGAAGCGGTTGTCGTAGAATCTGTGTATGTCCTGGAACTGCTGGAAGCAAACCTCCCAGAGACCCAGGTTCGTAAATCGTGGGTTTTGTAAACGGCCATCAGTCACTAGCCAATAGGGCGTGGAAAACGCGATGACAAACAGGAGAACGGAGAACACGGACAGGTAGAGGGCACATTTCGTGGTGTTGTTGGACGCCCCCATCGCTAATGGGCTAAAAATATGGCTCAATTCAATGACTTATTAACTATTTTACTTTATTAATTTACTTTACAAACACGCCCAAAGTGTGACCGTTACTTGAAATTTGATAAATGCCAGATTGAAGAACACATGATCACGGTGCAATAACGCCTGGTTACGAAGTGAGTTAAGATCAAGTGATCAAGTTTGTATGTAGAAATGCTGAAGTCAATTTAAAACTTTATTTAACTTTGCGCTAGCAAGTTAAAAAGGAAGTACTAATAGCCCAATATTGGAATTTCAAAAACCGGGATACAATAGTTATTTAACCATTTTCTAGTCACGAGTATTAAAAAGATTTAACTTCTATTCTATTTTGTATTTTTTTTTATTAGCTTGTAATAAATAAAATTAAAAAATCTGTTTAAAAAATTTAAATTCGCGGTATTGCTAACGGTGGTTTTTAGTTTCAACTGTCGACGGGTCACACCGATTTCTGGTCACACTGAACTGCTACCTGTTTGATTTCTACGTTTCGTTTAATTTATTTATTATATTGTTTACTTTATTTATTTATTGTTTTCTGTTAAGTGCAAGTGCAATAAGAAATCCTTAAATATGGTGAGTAATAGAAAGATCATAACAACCACTTGTAACAAGAAAATGCTTTCTTTCTTTCTTTATAACTGCACTTTCCACTCGACTGCCCTCATTAACCATTTTGTATTTATGCAACTTTCTAACTAACTTTTCCAACTATATTTTCAGGCTCGCTACTTCAAGGAACAGGATATTGATGGTAAGTATACCTAACGTCTCATTGATGATTTCATTCCGAAAACATTTCTTATCTTTAACCCCCAGAGTTCCGTGAATGTTTTTATCTGTTCGCCCGTTCGGGGCAAATCAACAATTTGGACGAACTAACGGTAAGTGGGACTCTCACCCAAAAAAAAAAACGGAACTCATAATAATGGTAAAAATTTCGTCATATTATCAGGTTATCATGCGTTCACTGGGTCTCTCGCCGACCATCCAAGAACTGGTTTCCTACCTGAAGCAGAAGAACGGAAAGATGAGCTTCGCCGACTTCCTGGACATTATGCACCAGCACTCCAAGGTGGAGAGTCTGCCGGACGAGGTGATTGCCGCCTTCAAGGCAGCCGATCCCCAGAACAAGGGAACCATCTCGGCCAGGCAGCTGCGCAATCTCCTCCAGAATTGGGGCGAGGGTCTGTCCATGCGCGAGGTGGACAACATTTTCCGGGAGGCCAATGTCAACAACAATAGCACTGTGCGGTATGCAGACTTCGTGAAGATTGCCTGCGCCCCAGTTCCAGATTACTATTAGAAAAAGCACTCCATTCTTACATTTAACTAAACATTCCAGTAAAATAGTTTCCGCACAATAAAGCTGGCCAAATGTGTTTTGGGAAAAGTTCTTGGTTTTTATTTGTACGCCAGACTTTTCGAGGTGTAAAAAAGTGGCATCCGCCGATCTTAGTTGGCGATGGTGACCTCAACCTCTACGCCGGGCTCGATGTTGATCGAGGTGATCTTCTTGACGATCTCGGAGGGCGAGTGCAAGTCGATGATGCGCTTGTGGATTCTCATCTGGAAAAATAAGAGTTTTATGGAAATGTAAGTAACAAATAGAAGATTGAGTGGTTTTGCCATGATGCATCGTTTTTAAATATTCTTGTCGAAGTCGGAGAGCCAAATTGTGAAGATTATAAACAAAGTGGACTATGAGAATACGTTTTTTCTGGGCAGATCATACAGATACTGTGGAAAGATAGGTAAAATCCCCAACCACGATATCAGATCCGTCCAATGATTTCAGTTCACTACATAATTATTTTGTCGAATTCGGAGAGCCAAATTGTGAGGAATACCAACAAAGTGGACTATGAGAACACGTTTTTTCTGGGCAAATCGTACAGATACTGTGGAAAGACTAATAGTTTGCCCAACCACGATATCAGATCTGTCCATTAAATAGTATATATATATAGTGAAACCCACCTGGAAGCGATCCCAGGTCTTGGAACCCTCACCGCAAGGAGTCTTACGGGTGGTGATGCGCAGGGTCTTGGTCGGCATGCGCACGGGGCCCTGGAAAATGGAATAAAATACAAGAATTAGTAAGGAGCTCCTTACTCTTTGGAGGTCTTGTAGCCCGAGCCATGTGATATTCCCGCACTGGAGTAATTAGCGCGAGAATAGTGTCCGACTCAGGCAGTTTCTCTAGCATTTATTAATGACTAGGCTAAGCGTAGTGAGGGCACGCAAAGCCTCCAGGTAAATGCTATGGCAGATTGCATCCTCGAGGATGCGGATCTCTCACCTTGACGCGCAGGTTCTGGTTCTTGGCACCGTTGATCAGGTCGCGGCACACGTTCTCCAGCGAGCGCACGTTCCTGGAGGTCAGGGTGATGCGGATGCGGTGCACGGAGGCAGAATCGCCGCCATGGGGCTTCTCAATATCCTTGGGTGCAGCAGCCTGCGGATTTGGCGGAAACACGGGTTAAGTGGGGTTATGTTGAGCGGCCATCACACGTGTGCGGCGATTTCGTGGCAAAAGGGGAACGTTAGCCCTTGCCAACTATCCACAATAGTAGAGTGTGATTTGATAACGCCATTCTCACCATTATTTAGCAATTTCCCTGGTCGAGGTATTCAAATCTTTTTATTTTGAGCAGCGCTGAACCAGTCAATTTGCTGGTTGAAAACGAAGAGGAAGAGGAAGAGGAAGAGGAAGGGCTGGGGAACTTGGTTGAAACGTCCCTCGTTTTATCGATGTTTTGATAGTCGCTATCGATGGGGACTATCAATGATTTCACATCACTAAAGTCGATGTTAACTAACAGAAACGTTCTTACATTGGCAGAGACGCCGAGCATGACGCCGATAACTTTGCTATCGATGTGTCACTAAAATGTTAGCTAACATACAAGCGTTTATTAACACGCCACCTATAACAGTTCTGTTAAGAGTCAGCATTTAAAGTTTAAACCCCACTTTAAATTTAAATAGCAGCATAAGTCAGCCAAATTAATATATCCCAGATTTATTTATGTAAGAATAGTTTATGCCAACAGTAAGATTTTGTTTTTTATGTTTTTAAAGCTTAATTAAATTATTTAATAATAAGAAAAAAAGTCTAGGAGTAAGTTAGTCGCGATTTTTACTACATTACTTTGTAGTGTTATACTAGAAGTTAAAAATAAATACATTTTTACTAAAACTACGCTTCCAGCGGTTTCTGCTTTTCCCCATAGGGATCTTCGTAGATTCTCCCGATCTCGTAGTGGCTCATTTTATTGCGATGGATGGTGAGTAGGGCTCCGCTCTTGAAGTTCTGCTCGCAGACACCACATCTGTATGCCATGGCAGGCATCTCCGGGTTTGGCGGCACCTCCTGATGTTGCTCCTGCTGCTGCAGTTGATCCCCAGGAATTCGTTTCAGGCGCATCCGCTCAATATCCTCCGCCCGTCGCTTGCTGACCCGTGCGTTTACATAAGGATCCGGCGGGAAGGCGCCCTCGGTTCCAGTTCCACCGCCCGGAATCACCGGCTCGAGGTGACCCTTTCGGTTGCGATGGATATTCAGGTGCGAGCCGCAGACGAAGCTCTCGCCGCACACTCCACACCGGTAGGGTCGCTCGCCAGTGTGCCGCCGCATGTGAATCTTCAAATCGTTGGACTGCACAAAGCTCTTGCTGCACCTGTCGCAGGAGTAGGGCCGCTGACCCGTATGCAGTCGCATGTGCCGCGCCAGCTTGTTTTGCGAGATGAACTTCTTGGAGCAGATCTTGCACTCACTGGGCCGCTCTCCAGTATGCTGACGCCTGTGCAAACTAAGATCCTGGCTGCGCGGAAAGGCCTTTTCGCACTGGTCGCATTTATAGGGATTCTCGCCGGTATGACGACGAATGTGGATGGTTAAGCTGGACACGGGAAAGCTGAGGCCACAATAGGGACAATCTCGCCGCTTGGCAATCCTTTTCCTCGCAGAGTTTTCCGGCGTTTCCTCCGCTTCACTGGGATGAAAGGCCTGCATGTGTCGTCGCAGAGTGTCCTTGCGCTTGAAGGTCCGCGGACAGTGGCCGCAGGTCAGCAGACCAGTGCCGCTGCTCTCGTTGGCCAGCTTCAAGGCGGCCACGTCCGCCGTCAGCCGGTGGGCGTGCGAAAAGTGCCGCGAAAGGGATTCGCTTTTGGCAAATACACGCGGACAGACGGCGCACTTGTACATGAAGTTATCCGAGTGGTTCAGACGACTGCCCAGCTGGGAAGGTCGCTGGTGTGTTGGCTCTTTGCCTTCCGTTTCCTCTGCCAAAAGATGCAGCTCCTCCTCTTGGTAGAAAGCCTCTCCTTCAGCCTCGGACTGGAAAAGTGCAGAAGTGTCCTCCAGTTCCACCTGCTGCTCCTCGTAAGTGGCGGGCAGAAACTCTTCCATATCAACTACATTCCCCTGGCCAATCAGCTCCACTACTTCCACATGGGCTTCCTCCGGCTTGGCAGCCTCCTTTTGCTGCCGGTAAAGATTCTGCAAAGTCTCCTGGGCGCTCTCCACCTCCAGGATAAACTCGTAGGCACTGATCAACCGGCGGGTGCAGTTTTGGCACAGCTGCATGGGCAGATTCGAATCCGTCCATGAGTACTGGTAAAAGGGAGAAACATAATAATTCCCTGCCAAGAGAGTTGCTATAAAATAGATCCCACCTTAACTTTGGAAACGGATTCCAGGAGCTGCCAGAGCTCCATGCTCAGGTCGTTGTACTCGATCTCATCGTGCAGGCACAGATTGGTCTCGTGGGTCTCCAGGCAGACGCGGCATGTCTGGGCGGTTATATTAATGTGAATCTCGGTAGTCTCCATGATTTTGCAGCATATCGTTAAAAAATCAACCTGAAAGTTTGTTTATAACTTATTAGAGATGGAAGTTCATTCACAGCTGTTCCGGTTCGCAGTCACTTTTTATGTTTATGCGTGGAATATTTCAAAAATTACTCAGTTTGTAATTTAATTTATTTTTATTGCGTGCGTATATAATAAGGAGTTATTTGATAATAAGAAATAACAATCTATATTTAATTTTTTTTATGTATAGTTAACATATTAAACCTTAATCTTTAATTCGACCTATTTTATACGCCAACAAATATCAAATTTCGAATATTCTCCGACATTATTGCTTCAAAAATTAAACTCCAAATAAATACAATACTGTGACTGGCTAGCAACACTAAAAAGTCACGGGGTGCCGTCACTAACCGATACTATCGCACTTTTGCCATTCGCCCCATCGCGCACACGCCCGCTTCACAATTCAAACGAACGGCATTTTATTTTCACAGGACCCGGGAAATCGTGACTGTTTTACCCATTAGTTTCTTTTACCTTTGTTATCTGACCAAATTTGCAATCCAATCTGTTAGTTGTCCAGTGTCCGTCTAGCCATGTCCCATCCGTCCGACCATGTGCTGCGTCCCAAGGAAAATGCTCCGGTGAGAAAGCCGGAAATGTCAGCCGCCATCCTCAACATGCAGAAAAAGAACTTTCTGCTGGGCAAAAAGGTATAAGATTCTCTAGAAACCCTCTGAAATCCTTGTGATCCTGTAAGCCTTTCTGTACGATAGCCCACCAGTGAGAATGTGGCTCCAGCCGGCAAGCCTTTGCCAGGATCTTCGGGAGCTGCGATCAGGAGTGCGATGACTGGCGTGCGTCCGCCTAATAAACCAGGTCTAGTAGCCTCCAATTCCGCAGTGCCCGCAGCAGTTGGCAAGTTCCAGAAGCCACAGGTGCCGCCCGTTAAGAAGGCCACCTCAGAGTTTGTGGCTCCCGCTCCAATGGCTCCTATAAAGAAACCCGAAGTCGTTCCGAAACCGAAATCCCCTGCTACAGCCGCAGAATCCTCTACAGAATCGAGTGCTGCAGTGGCCAGCAGTTCCGGAAGCACCAGCGACAAGGAAAAAGCCAAGACTGGTAAGTACTTCATCCAAAATAATATATTCCCAATCATTAACTCCAATCCAATCTGCAGATGGACAGCCGCAGAAGCCCAAGAAAACCTGGGAGCTAAACAACTTCGACATTGGCCGTCTACTAGGACGCGGCAAATTTGGCAACGTTTACTTGGCGCGCGAAAAGGAATCCCAGTTTGTGGTGGCCCTGAAAGTGCTCTTCAAGCGCCAGATTGGCGAGTCCAATGTGGAGCACCAGGTGCGCCGTGAGATCGAGATACAGTCGCATTTGCGCCACCCGCATATCCTTCGCTTATACGCCTACTTTCACGACGATGTGCGCATCTATTTGATACTGGAGTACGCGCCACAGGGAACGCTCTTCAATGCCCTGCAGGCTCAGCCTCTAAAGCGCTTCGATGAGCGCCAGTCGGCCACGTACATTCATGCCTTGTGCTCGGCGCTGCTCTATCTGCACGAGCGCGACATCATCCACAGGGATATCAAGCCGGAGAATCTGCTGCTTGGTCACAAAGGCGTCCTGAAGATCGCCGACTTCGGCTGGTCCGTGCACGAACCCAACTCCATGCGCATGACGCTGTGCGGCACTGTGGACTACCTGCCGCCGGAAATGGTGCAGGGCAAGCCGCACACCAAAAACGTCGATCTCTGGAGCCTGGGAGTGCTCTGTTTCGAGCTGTTGGTCGGCCACGCGCCCTTCTACTCGAAGGTCTACGACGAGACCTACAAGAAGATCCTCAAGGTGGACTACAAGCTGCCGGAGCACATCTCCAAGGCGGCCGCACACCTCATTTCCAAGCTGCTCGTCCTCAATCCCCAGCACCGCCTGCCGCTGGACCAGGTGATGGTGCACCCATGGATCCTGGCGCACACGCAGTGAAGTCATTCCTTATTTCCTTTTAATTTACAGTTTTACAGTTAAGGCTCGCCGCGTAATTTAATTATGGCATCTCTTAAATTTTCATTTAGCCAGTTTCGAGAAATTAACATTTATGTTTTAAGTTTATTATTATCAATAAAGTTTGTGTGTGTTTTCGAATGCTAGGCGAGTGTACATTCCTATCTTATGTGGCTACCTATTCTCTAGCGAAATGAGTTGACGGAATTCGAATGCCAATGGAAAATGTCGAGGCAGCGACAAAAAACACAGGCAAATGCAGTGAAGCGAGATATTTGTATCACAGAAAACCAAGTACAAGGAAATATTGTACGCAGATGAAGAGCGCAAGAGTATATTTTTGAGATTGGCGAAATTAGCAATGAAATGGTTTAGGATTTAGCAACGGAAAGCTGAACCGAACCAGTCTTAATTTTAAATAAATTCCAGTTGAAACATTAAACTGGAGCTGCCTTCAATCTCATTTCCATTTTAGAGTATTGTATTTCCTGCGAGTTTTCGTGTTTTCTTTTTCATTTGCTATTAACAAAATGACGATTAATTTTACTTATAAACTAAATAGCTTAGGGCGTGCTCAACCCAGGATAGATTTCGATTTATAATCTCCAATTATCTTACAAATTCATTGATTGGTTTGCAGAACTTCATATCCCTAAAATCTATGGATCCTTGAGCACGGCTTTAATATAAAGGGTTTTCTAAGCCTTTTGCACACATGCCGCTCAATATTAATAGAAAATTCGGTAACTTAATGTCTAATAACCTCGCCGCCCTTCTTGCGCGCCGCCACATTGGAATAGTCGTCCTCTGAAAGAAAAGTTTAGTGAGTATTTTCTATTTGAAATTAGTAGAAAGACTCACCATCTTGATCTTCATCCATGGCATCTTCCAGATGGATGCCTTCGGCAAACTCCTTGCCCTGATCAGCCACAATTTCGTTGTTTAGATTGTCTGATTCGAGAAGATGCTGCGGCTGCTTAACGGCCACATCGCCCACATCGTCGTCGTCGTCACCTTCGCCACCTCCGCCTGCGCCGGCTGCCTCGGCCATCTGCTTGGCCGGCTCATCGGGCACGGGCCCGGGACCAGGAGCCGGTAACTCCCCATCAAAGAAGTTCTGGCCGCCACCAGCAGCGGGTAAATTAAAGCTAGGCTCGTTTAGCGCGTCCTTGACCTCGTGGGCGCCCGAATCCTCCAGGGGTTTGGGTGCCACACCCAGGTTCTTGTTGCTCTCCAGCTCGTTTACAGCGTTGGCGTAACGATTGTTGTTCTCGTTCTTGGGCAGCTCCTCGGCAGCGGTGTCTACATCGACACCGTCGCCTTTGGTGTCCGCCTTGTCCTCAAAGTTGTCCGGAATGGGAGCCACGTTTTCCGGCAGTTTGCGGTCCGGCTTGACTGGTGGAAGGCCGCTGCTGCTGCTCACCTTTGGAGCCACCGAAGCGTTGGGAGCATTGCCTGCTTTCTTGGCAGCCGCACCGCCCTCAGCAGACTGTGTGCTGCTCTTGCGGGGAGCGCTTAGCGGAGAAACGGCTCCGCCGGACAGCTGAGGCTCCTCCTGCTGCTGCTGCTGCTTCTCATTGAGCGATTTGGGCACAATCTGAAAGTTTTCAACAGAGTTTAGTATGAGGCTGTGGTTGTTGCGCACGGCGAAGGGCAGGAGAGGCAGCTGCTCCTGGATTCCGTCACCATTGCTCTTGAGTGTGGAGTTGTTAGTAGCTGCGGTTGTTTGGTTAGTCGCTAGCAGATTTACCCCGCCGCCGATCCTGTAGAGGCCTTCACTCACTTGCACTTGGGCATCGAAAGACTTCTCGTTGCGTGGCTTTTCAATGCTGTGCGCCAGCTGGGCGGCATTGGAGTGGCGTGTGGTGGGCATCTGGTCGGCGGGCTTGTTCAGCTGCTGCTGCTGCTGGTGGCCATGGGCCGGGGCCTCGGCGGGCTGAACCTTGGGCACATAGTTGCAGTTGGTCCTGAATTCCGCAACTGTGGCCTCCAGCGCGTGGATCTTGTGCTCTCCCTCGCGCTGCTGCTTGTCCAGTTTTTCCTGAAAAAAATAAGGGAATAATTGGGGGAATTCTAGAGTAGCCAATAAGATTACCTTCCAGGCAGCCACCTCGTGCTCCTTGCTGGCCTTGTCCTTGTGCAAATCGGCTAGCACTTTCTGCAGTTTCTGGTCGAATGCGTTCGTATCCTCGATGTGTTTCTTCTTGCTCTGGAGGCACTCGGCCTCCAGGTCGGAGTACTTCTGCTCCAGCACCTTGTACTTCTCCACCTGGGCGTCGAACTTCTCCTGGAGGGAGCGTTCCGTTTCCTGCTGCTTTTGCACAGCCTCCGCCAGCTGACCCTCGTACTTCTCCTGCAGGCTCATCTTCTCCGTGCGCAGCAGGCTCATCCTCTTCTCGGCGGTCAGTTTCTCGGCATTGAGAGCTGTGGATTTAAACCTAATGAGTGGGCCTAATCGAAGGGAGCATGGCTATAATAACTCACATTGCATCTGGACACTGAGACCCTCTTGGAAGGCGCGGCTCTCGTCCAATTGGTGCTGCGACATTTGGTAGATCACAATCATCATGATGAGCACGATGAACATGCTCATCAGGATGCAGATGCGGACGCGCCCGGAACGCGCAAAACGAGCCGAACTCATTTTACACCCGTTTTAAGATAGTAAATTACCAAATTATACCTTTTTTGCAGGAAAGAATAGAATGTTTTTTTTTTTTTTTAGCTTATGCGGGGTTAGGGATGGTCGCGTGATAGAGAGGGGCTCAGCTATCGATGCACTGTGCTATCGGAATTTGAATACTTCGCTCTTGTTTAAAAAATAAGGGTTATTTGAAATATATATTTTATTTTTCAATATTTAATTGGCAAATAAATCTAATTTACTAATTTCACTACGACCACCTTATATGAGTGTTATTGGTTTAAATGATACTTTCAAAACAAGCTGTTACAAGGTTTCTCGACGTTAAAAAAAGGGGTTTTAAAAAGTATTTTCAATTTGATTGTATAGTGCAAAACAAAGATATTTAAAAAATGTTGTAAATTTAGAGTATTAAAAAGTTCTTGAAAAGGTAGTTGGTAATACAAGTTACATCTATGATTAAATGGCCATTTCAAATATTACTGTATAATTTGTTTTTAAAATTTACGATCAATAGAAAATAAATTGTAAGAAACAAGATAAAATTATTAATATTAAATATTGATAATTCAAATAGTAGGGTAACCCATCAGGTGTGACCAGCTACTCCCCGGACCGCCAATACATATCATAGCCGAATCGAGCCGAAGATATATTTCAAAAGGTAGCACAGCCCACAAACGACGGCGCCGCGCGAAGAGAATATCAATAAATAGTTTTAATTTAGCTTAATTTTCCCCTAAATAAGAGTTGCTGGCCGCGGCAAGTGTTAAGTTTACAGAAACCGAGTCAATTAATCGAGCTTTGCAGGAGTCAGTGAAAAGTGAGTTAAAAACCGGGGGGCGATGGGCTTATCGAGGGGTTTTGGGGCCAGAGGAATTTATTTAAACATTTAATGGACTGCGAGAGAGACACATGCGAACGCATATGTACGAATCGTATCGAGAGAGTGTGGGGCAATCAATTCAATTTAATAAAGGTGCTCGATCCTAGTGGTAAACACGACAAATTACGTAAAGTCAGGCACAAGTGGTTGCCTGCTCCAGTGCTCCACTGTTCCCAATCATAATAAGTGCGCCACCAATAATAATAATCTAGTATCGAGGGGGTGTATCACCTGTCCGAAAGGTAAAGCACGCGGAGCGCAAAGAAAAAAAACTCGCCATAAACTGTCGAGCCCCCCGACCCGAATTCTCGTCCATTTTGGGCAATAATCAATAACTCGCCTGCCATTTACCTTTGATGCCGCAATCTAAACTACCTTTTTATCACCAACAGTTTTATAGAACTTTATGACGCGTGTGGTGTTTTTAACTTTTATTGGAAACTTGGATATCTTTATGCTTAATATATTCTGCCGAAAAAAAGAAGAGATAACAAGTTCAGACGTTCTTATCGTCTGCGCACTGTGGATAACCCGTTATTCGGCCTTGCCAGCCGAGCATATCAACAGATATACATAGTTAGGGCCGCCGAAAAAAATGATAAACTTTTTCTATTCGCACATCTTTGTAATTGTGCTAACGAAGCAATTTTAACATTTGTTCGCGAGTGCAGCCTAATGGCGCCCATTGATATGCTGCTAATCTCCGTGGGGCCCCTCGATTATGTCAATAAACTTTGGATCCATTCGCTGCTTATCACCAACCTATAATAAATACCCCCTATTTATTAAGTACCCCCAACAGAATTATCAGTTGTTAAACATTAATAAATGTAAACATTTATTGTATAATTGCGATATCAATGGTGGGAATTAAAAATATTGTTATCACAATCTACCAATGTATGTATATATTTTGTAATTTTTAAATTATTTATAAACAAAAACCAGTTTGCACCAATTCTTTATATATATCACATAATATCTTGTGTATTTCGCAGAATGTCGGGCAGTGAAACCAACAAAACACCGCTGCAGCAGCCACAGCACCAACAATTCGCGTAAGTTATCAATAAACATTTCAATTAGCCTGCGTAATATAATCTCAAAGGCAAACAAAACATATTTGTTTTAACAAATGTATTTTAGCACGGTCAAACAAAAACAACACCGGCAAATTAAAATTATAGAGCTACCCCATTTTTAGCAGCAAGGAAAAACTTATTAAAAAAGTTACAAAAACTTTAAAATGTAAACCACCTAAAGTATAGAGTTTGAAATAGATATCTACAGTAGTTATCCCTTATAAGGGATATAAAAGAAGGGTTAAAAGTACATTCCGTTAGAATAATGGGTATATCAAATTCTTCTATCTTCTTAAAATAATAAAAATCCGATTAAATAATATTTAATTATAGAGTACTATTCAGCTACCGAGTACCCACTGTATTTGGGTTTATCATCGTTGAAGACTCGTCACTTGAATAGACATTTATACACATTTCATTTTGAAGTGTTTTGCCCTCAGCCAAACGACAATTTTCACCCCACTTTTCCCCCCGTTTGGTTTCAATAAAATTGGGACAAATCTTAAGACAAGGATAGCGATACAATGACATAATATTATTGCATTTTGCACTTTGTTTTTGGTTTCGCTATTGTTTTAAAAAAAATGCAAACCCAAAATAGAACCAAGCTAAGACTAGATATATTCGATCGTACATATACACTGTGTGTTCTGTTGGCAGCCAACCAAATATTTCTTCCTTATTAATGGCCAACTCATTTGACCTTTCTTCTGCTTTAATTGAGAGCCCAATTGTGGTATCCTAAGAACAGTGCTGGTATATGTGGGCCAAGTTCAAAGCCAACAAGACAATTGTTTACATTTTGTTGTTGCCGCGAGAATGCAAAGTTAACGCAGTGCAAATATTTGTCAATTAGCCAAGCGTAATGAGAAACCGACCAAGAAATGCCCTGATATTATTCTCATTAATTGCAGGCTGCTGCCGAAGATCATCAACGGAGGAATTGCTGGAATCATTGGAGTGACATGTGTCTTCCCACTGGACTTGGTCAAGACGAGGCTGCAGAACCAGCAGGTCGGACCCAATGGAGAACGCATGTACAACAGCATGTGAGTATAAGCTAATATACAATTTTTATATTCCAAGAACGTAATAATAAAATCATTAAAATAACCATCTTTAGATTTTTAATATCTTAATAATTTAAATAATAATTATAATTGGTAATATTAGATTTTTCTAGAAAAAATACAGTATTTCAAAGTAATCCTTTTTTTATTTTAATTTAATTTAAATTTTTATTTTGGTTTTATTTATTTTTTTAAATGTTTCTTCAAAAAATGTAATCAATTTATTTTTTTTGTAATTAGCATACCTGTAGGTTTAACAAGGTTTTAAATTTGTAACAGTAACTATTTTTTTTAATTTATTTATTTTTTAATATACCCAGAAACTAATTGACATCGCATTTTTTTTTTATTTTATTTAATTTTTATTTTGGTTTTATTTTTTTTTAAATGTTTCTTCAAAAAATGTAAGCAATTTTTTTTTTGTAATTAGCATACCTGTAGGTTTAACAAGGTTTACAATTTGTAACAGTAACTATTTTTTAAAGTTTATTTATTATTTAATATATCCAGAAACTAATGGTAATCCCATTCTGATCCCAGGTTCGATTGCTTCCGCAAGACGTACAAGGCCGAGGGATACTTTGGCATGTACCGCGGCTCCGGCGTGAACATCCTGCTGATCACTCCTGAGAAGGCCATCAAGTTGACGGCCAACGACTACTTCCGCCACAAGCTGACCACCAAGGATGGCAAACTTCCGCTGACCAGCCAGATGGTCGCCGGCGGTCTGGCCGGTGCATTCCAGATTATCGTTACCACGCCCATGGAGCTGCTCAAGATCCAGATGCAGGACGCTGGCCGAGTGGCTGCGGCGGCCAAATTGGCTGGCAAGACGGTGGAGAAGGTGTCGGCCACCCAGCTGGCCTCGCAGCTCATCAAGGATAAGGGCATCTTTGGGCTGTACAAGGGCATCGGAGCCACGGGATTAAGGGATGTCACCTTCTCAGTCATTTACTTCCCCCTATTCGCTACTCTCAATGATCTGGGTCCCCGGCGAAGTGATGGATCTGGAGAGGCCGTCTTCTGGTGAGAATTTCTTTTTAAAATAGCATACAAAATATTATAGTTTCCTCAGAGTTTAAATGAATTCTTGAGGTTCTGAATTTAATTAAATGGTTAGGGCTCTAGCTAAATGTATAAATTTAAAATATATATATAATAACGATTGTTAAATCCACAGGTGCTCCTTCCTGGCGGGTTTGGCGGCAGGATCAACCGCCGCCCTCGCGGTTAATCCATTCGATGTGGTCAAGACGCGTCTGCAGGCGATTAAGAAGGCCGATGGCGAGAAGGAATTCAAAGGCATATCCGATTGCATTACGTGAGTACCAGTAGCAAGTGCACTTGTGTATCCGCCAGCTAATCACTGCCTCTTTATCTACAGTAAAACGCTGAAGCATGAGGGACCCACCGCTTTCTTCAAGGGCGGTCTGTGCCGAATGATTGTGATTGCTCCTCTGTTCGGAATCGCTCAGACGGTCTACTATCTGGGCGTGGCCGAGGGTCTGCTGGGCGTTCAGAAAAAGTAGGGGGATTGGGATAGATAGACGCCAAGACCGAAGCATTTTAAGTCTACTCTCTGAATATTGAATGTGTATGTATATCGTGTTTAAATGTTGTTAAAGCTGTCCATGAATGTAATCCGTGAAGTCTCTAAAGTAAGCTAAAGTAATCGAGCGGTGCGCTAGCCAGTCCAGTACCAAATGCTGTTGTTAAAGTTTTCCCCCAATATTATACAATATGAATTTAGACCATGGCAGAAGAAAACTGCAGCTCCAATGACAATAAGACATAACAACATCAACGCTAATATTATGTAAATGTTTTGTTTTATATCATAGTTTATAGCTGTTGTGTTTGGACACTCTCTCTATCTAATATTGTTTCCCCAGCAATCCGCTAGCCATGAATAATTGCCTCAAATTGTATTAGTAATGCATTTTCCTTTGCTGCTAGGCGAAAGTTTAACTTTTAGTAGCATCCAAGAACATGACTAGAGCAATTGTATGCTTTATGAAAACCGTCAGAAATGAACAAACGAAATATATACTATAATATGTGAATTAAAATTTGTTATTTGTTATTTGTTAAAAAGATAATGGAGAGGGTAGAACAAAAAAAGCCAGCGCAGTTCAAGTAAGCCCATTGCATTTAGCCTAGTGATACCATAGCTATATATATTAATTTCCGGACTCATCGCAGTGTTTTGCCTAAAATCATAAACGGCGGAATTGCCGGAATTATTGGAGTGACTTGCGTTTATCCACTGGATATGGTGAAGACGCGTCTGCAAAACCAGACAATCGGTCCCAATGGCGAGCGCATGTACACCAGCATGTGAGTGGGTTTTGGGCAGGGAATGCGTGATGGTGGTTCAATTTCCTTCCTCAGCGCCGACTGTTTCCGGAAGACGATCGCCAGCGAAGGATTCTTTGGAATGTACAAAGGCTCCGCTGTGAATATCCTGCTGATCACACCCGAAAAAGCCATAAAACTGGCAGCCAATGACTACTTCCGCTATCAACTGGCCACCAAGGGTGGGTCGCTTTCCTTGCCCCGGGCAGCCTTGGCCGGTGGCCTGGCCGGACTGTTCCAGATCGTGGTCACCACGCCCATGGAGCTGCTCAAGATTCAAATGCAGGACGCCGGTCGTGTGGCTTCGGCCGCCCGAGCAGAAGGACGGGAGGTTCAACACTTGACGGCCATGAGTCTGACCAAGAAGCTACTGCGGGAGCGGGGCATCTTTGGCCTGTACAAGGGTGTGGGCGCCACCGGAGTGCGGGACATCACGTTCTCGATGATATACTTCCCGCTGATGTCCATTATAAACGACAAGGGGCCACGAAAGACTGACGGCTCTGGCGAAGCGGTTTTCTATTGGTCCCTTTTGGCCGGACTTATAGGCGGGATGACGGCCGCCTTCATGGTCACACCGCTGGATGTGATCAAGACCCGGGTGCAGGCCGATAGCGCGAAGGAGTTCAACGGCATCGTGGACTGCGTCCAAAAGACCCTCAAACGCGAGGGTATAAAGGCTTTTTTCAAAGGCGGTCTATGTAGGATTATGGTAGTGGCTCCTCTATTCGGTATTGCGCAGATGTTCTACTTCTTGGGCGTGGGCGAAAAGATTTTGGGCATCGAGCAAAGGAAATCGGTCTAAAAATAAAGGGGTACTGGGAGTAAAAGTATGATCGTCCGGAAGTGTTAATTTTGTTATCCCAGTCTGTACATTTCGATCAAAATTTTGGTGTTTTTATGAAATTGATAAAAATCGTCAAGTAAATTTCCTAGTATTGTAACAGTAATTTCCATCAATATTCGTTTTCACCGACTCTAAATCCGATTTTAGACTTTCAAACTATGTGAATGAATTTAATACAAGCTCTATTAACATTTCATGTGTGTATTTGCTTAATGGATCTACATGTTAAACTTTTATAATCGATTAGTAATTTTGAAGAATCAGCCCAGGGTTGATTGCAGCCCATCTCTCTTATCACAAACCATCTTGTACGGATGCCAAGAGTCCTTTCAATCCGTTTCCTTAGATCACATCCGCTGGTCGGCTGTTCGGAACAGCCGCATTCTCCGAATTCAAATCAACGTAGCGAGTGCGATGCCAGTGAGCTATGGCAGCTCGATACCAGTCCAGGAAAAGGGCCTGCCGGTAGAGAACGATGCCCATTTGCAGGACGATGAAGCCCATGATGGTGATGAGATTCATAATCTCCCACTCCATGACAATCACGAACACCCAGATAAAGTATACGCGCAGGCCATCGGCCAATAGGCGGTTGGCGCTGGACGAGTACATCGCAATGAAGAGGCCAATGAAGTTGTACAGGGCACAGGAGACGGTGAAGGCAATCAGGGCCGTAATCAAGGAGGGATTCTCCTTGAGTCCCTCAAGGAGATCACTCAAATCGTCGAAGACAGCACGCGAACTCTCGCTAAAGGGACTCACGGCGGGCATGAAGTGCATACAAATGGCCAAAAGCGAGGTGATGACCAATCCGAAAATTCCCTGCCAACCGGCAGCTTGCAGAGGGGCCACATTCGAGGTCTTGAGCTGCTTCTCCTCGTAAACATACTGCAGACCGTGCAGAATTTCAGCAATAATAATAAGCAAGTCGCCGGTCAGGATGGCTTTCTGGTCGGTGTACGGCAATAAGACCAGGTCGTAGCCCACTCGCTGAACGTCCATGCAGACAATGTTGAAGACGCCGCAGGAAATGGTGAAGATGGCCAGCCAGTGGCGTCCAGTGAGCGTGTGGTTCAAGAACATGGTACTAAAGATGCCCACGAAGACCAGGGCGGCACCTGCAGGGTGGATGAGTCAACGTAAGTCAAGATAAGCTAGGCCTCAGGCCGATAGACGTACCCCTTATCATCTGGAAGCTGGTGGCGTAAGTCAAGTAAAGTCCGGTGAACAGCAGAATGGAGGCAATCGTATCCAGCACGGTGGGCAGGATCATGCTCAGAGGGCTGAACTCACTGCTGTCCGGGGTTAAGATGGTATCCAGATCGGAGATGACCTGCTGATTGCAAGATGATTGTTAAAACTTTGATTTCTTAATGGATTACATTTGTTTTTTACGAACTTGCAAACCTATGCTAAAGATTTTCATTAGAGAAATTGGAATATTAACTAGGAACTATGGATTATTTTAAACATAAAAACCAAAACATTGTTGTTACAAAAATGATATAATAAATGGAAATCTCTTTAGATGATCTATGGTAATGATTTTCATAAGAGATATTGGAATAATAACTAGGAACTAGGAACTATGGATTATTTACAATTTAAAAACCAAAACATTGTTGTTACAAAATGTTATAATAAATAGAAATCTCTTTAGATGATCTGAAGACAGTTTTTTAACTAATTTCATAATTTAAAAACCGAAAACAGTTATTCTAGATTTTTTTTTTGAACTATAGTTATAGCTATCATATAGATCGACTTTATAGCCGGCTTCAGTACTTACTCCCCGACGATTGGAGATCAGGCGGATGAGCTTGAAGACCAGGAAGCACAGGAACTCGCCGAGAAACATGAGCAGGGTGAAAACCACCGGATGCTGGAATCCATGGAGTTTTCCATCGCTGCCAGTCACCTGCTCTTGACTAGCCCACCTGCAATACACCCACACACACACAATCGAGTGCATATTTGTTTAGATGGTTTTTATTTCGTGATATTAGCAAAGGGTTTTCGGTACTTACTTCACCACCAGAACGTTGAAGGTGCCGCTCAGCACAAAGATCAGCGACAGAAAAACCCGATGATCCATTCTGCGGCGGAAAATTAACTTCTGGGTGCAGTTTTCGCTAATTCGATTTACAAATATTTATTGACGTTCTTTGTGCAATTCGGTTTTGTGACTGCGCAGTGATAAGTGGAAAAATGTGCGGCCAGGTTGATAACCGACTGCCCTTCCCCAGTTCTATACAATGCCACGTAACGGTAACTCCCTCTTCTTCAAGGTTAAACCTTTAATTAAATGGCAATTTTTGCGTCGAGCAGTGCGTATTAGTTTATTTTTACGGGCTTTTTGTTTATTTTTTTTTATTCCCGCTTAGTGCACCAAAAATACTGCGGTAAATATAATTTGACTGCGGATTCAAGTCTAAAACATAGCTGGTCATACTTTAAAGCAACTAGTTTGATTTTAAATTACGCGGGTTTTCTGTAGGTAATTGAAATTGAAAACTATAGGGGGATTCCCTAAACTGTTGAATTGCTGAATTGTTGAATTTTGGTCAGCTGTTAATCAGCTGTTCCATACAAAGTCAACTTTCAGAAATTTCAGCAATTCAACAGCCTCGGGGCTGTTGAAAATTTTGTCGAATTGCTGAAAAGCCAGAGTTGTCACCTTTTTTTAGTGGCAACTCTGTAACATTTTAGTATCACCAGTACGCATTATTTATTTTAAAATCAACTTAGAAAGCATATTTGTGGTTCTTTTAACCTTGGTAATACTTTTAGACAGTAACTAGCAATAATAAATCAAATTTTACATGCTTTAAGTTCCGTGAAACTTTTCAACAAATAACAGCTGTTTGAAAATTTAACAGGAACCATTTTGGGTCGTTCCCTTAATTGCTCAAATTTTTTGTTGAATTTTCAACAATTCAGCAATTCAACAGTTTAGGGAATCCCCCTTATAACAAATCATAACGTTTAATTGTATTGGATTCAACAAATTGAATTTTATAAAAGCCATTTTTCAATATACCAAAAATTATAATCTGTAAGGCGACATAAAAATAGTTTAAGTGTATTTTTGCAAAGTTTTTATTTAACGCAAACTTAAAAAATATCACAGGATATGAAAAACCATTTAAATGAAAATACATGAAGTGGTGTTAGTGCATCTGTCGTTGAATTGCCATCAATTTTTCTGCGTTGACGGTTGCGTCGTATTTTGTGCTATTTTCCTGTAAAAAAATTAACAATATTGTATAGTAAAAAATCGTAAAGGATATTTCCAACAAGCATCAGCAAGCAAAAACACAAATGGCAACAAAAAGCGTGTCCTGTCGTCTCACCTGTACTCTGAATTGTTTTTCAAGTGTTGTGATCATGTTTTTGAGTATCTTGAGTGTCGTGCAGTGTGTGGGTGTTCCTAGAGCTCGTCTCGGGATTGCGAGGACGACGGCAGAGTCACCTCCTCGACGGAGCCTAGGTGTATGGTTCTATTTGGCCTGCTGAACTTTGGTATGTATGCGACCGAGTCGCTGTTGCTAACCACCGAGTTGTGTAGATGTTCCGTGGGTGCCGCAGGATCGGGACTTGTGAGTGTGATTTTGGAGCCAGTGGCCACCCTGTGGAATGTATGGTTTTGTGGGCAAGTAAGAGGCTGCGGTCAAAATAATAAAACTGAAGAATTCGCGAGGATTACCTAGTAGTGAATTATAAGTTTAGAAAGCTATCCTATGATGAAACATCGAAAGAATGGACAGGAATACACGTTTAAATGCATGAAGTTCATAGTTTATATAGTTCCTTAGATTTTAAGTCGCATTTGACCTTTTTTGGATAAAAATCTTTTATCATAGTCACAGTTTTTGCTTTTTTACAAGGTTCTATTTTGACCACATCTCTATGTTGTGTACCCTTAATATTATTTTATAGGGTTAGTAGAGCGCTACTTGGCTGATATTAGTTTTTGGGGGCAATAAAAATGGCTTCAACTCTCTTGTACCTTATGTACAGCTTTTGGAGGTGGTTGTAGTCGAAGAGAAAAGTTCTGAGAGTGGTTGATAAGTTCTATTGGCGCTGGCGGGCTCCACCGCGTGCTCCGCGCAATTTTTGTGGGTTTCTATTGCAGATCAGAGATCGTAATCAGAGATTCGGACTCGGATGCGCCACCTTACCTGTCCCTGGCCTGCATACTGGCCTCCACGTCCAGACTGCGCGGCTGTCGGAAGTCGCACTCCAGCGAGAAGGCCGAGTCTCCGGGCGTGATCAACTCCGGGTCGTTCTGGATCACCACGATGTTGGTGTACAGGTCTCCGTCGCGGAGCGTTTGGCACTGGTCCAGCTGGAAGTTCATCTCAATGGAAAGTGATCCCTGGCTTGAAGAGGGCTTCATGAAGCACGGGGCCGTCTGCTTGTAGAAACTGCCTCGCGTGTACATCACACCCGTGAAGGGCTTTTCCGTCTCCAGCACCACGTTCATCGAGTCCGCTCCGCACTTCAGGTTCACCTTTTGAATGCCCTGGTCGCTGCCCTCGATTTTAAAGGTGTCCGAAAGGTCTTGTTCCCAGATTTCTGCAACCAGACGAGACAATTGAATAATTACATATATGACATTTAAGGTAGATTATGTGAGGTATTTTTAAGACCTTTTATTTATTTTTATTTTATCAAACCATATACATAAAAGTAAAGTGGGGGTTGCTCTATAAGATTTGTATATTTCAACGAGATTTTTAACAATCAAAAAAATGTTAAAGAAATCTATAACAATATTTCTTTTCTTGAAAAATTAACGATTTAAAAAAGGTTTAGTTATACTTCGCGTAAATAACAAATTATCGTAAAAAAACTACATATTTATTTTGCTATTGAATCAATAAAATTGTGGATGTCACATTTTTATTTACTTCAAACGTATTTAAGTTCATTTTTAATTTTAAAACTTTCTTTTATGTTTTATGAACCATTACTCTCAGTTTCTTTTGTTACACGATTCTAACTGCTTTAGGCTTTCTTTATAGAAACAACCGTTACTTCCACCTGAGCCTAACATTTCCAGGCATTTTACCCAACGAACCGTTGAAGTTCACGCATCTTTTAGATAGCCGGCATTATTGAGCTCCGCTAACCGGTTTTTGTTTATTTTGGTCTGGCTAGAACAAACCCGCAGCAAAAGAATTTCTCCACCCAACCTGGATGAATCAGTCGCAGGCTTCTGTCGTTAACCCGAGACGACAATCTTACCTTGATTTTGATGTTTTTGCTGCTTATTGGCCGACACGTAGAGAGCCAACAACAAGTTGCAGGCGAACAAAAGCAGAATGCCATTCTGTAATCCCGACATATTATTGCACTTTAGTATTATCCAACACAAAACGATATTGAGATATCGCGGAGTTTTTTTGTAGGTTTGGAGATGTGTTTACAGCTGCAAGCCAAGATTCAAACTGACTGAGCCATTGCGCATGCGCAGCCCATATAAACGCTTCTCGAAAGCTCGGCTTGCTACAGCTGAGAAAAAAACCAAGAGAAAGAGGCTACTAAAAAGAGAAAAAGAGGCGATTCAGCGGAGAGCCAGTGAGAATTTGGTCAATAGCTGAGCATAAAAATTTTTAATTGTACTGCGCTTTTGATAAGGCGAAAATTTATTGGCATCGCCGAGTGGGAAAGCGAAATAAATCCATAAGGATAAACAGGTTTTAGGAAATCGGAGCACTGAATACCCATTGAAACATTTTGACTCTACGAAAAATTATAACTTAGTTATTAAATATAAAAAAATCATTAAGATGGGAGTTGTGAACAACTGAATCCAAGAATTTTAAAAGGTTTAGGTTTCTATGAAACTTTGAAACAACAAACAGTATTTAAATTATCCAATCTTTACTTTTAAGACTCTTAAAAAATGTGTGGGCAATTTCAATATACCTTCTGCCAGGGTATCAATATTTATTCAAAGCGTCAGTTTAAGGAAAACAAAATGCTGCATCGGTCCAAAGACATTTCCGCTTTTCGCGTGTGGCATGTGGATTTCTGCTGTGTTGCATTCGTTTCGCATTTTTAGCGCTGCATTCAACCGATTTTTTGTTGCCGTTCATTATTCAAAATGTTATTAAACTTCCCCGTTTTTTGCGACTGGATACGGCTCAATTCGGTTTCGGTTCTCCTTCATGCAACCAATTTAATAATTTGAGCAGGGGCTTTCGTCTTGTGGCTTTTGTTAGTTTTCCACCTGCCTCTTGTTGTTGCTTACATCTTTTGTTTTTCGTTTATTGCGTTAATTAAAGTGTAATTAGTTAACGATTCGGTCTGGCCATGCCAGCGAAAGGTGGAAGTGGTCGTGTTTAATGTTGGCCAAAAAATGCATTTACTTCAAGATATTCGTGGCAACTCTGCCCAAACATGATTAAGTTGTTATGCCTCCTTGTGATTGCGATGCTCAATGTCGGCTCTAAAATATTGTGGATTTTGGAAAATGATTATTGCATTATTTTTGTTTAATACAAATTATTTTAATTATTTCTTGTTTAATTATATGGTAAAGTTACAATTTGTAGGTTTGTATGTATGACCACCTTAAAAGTTCAAAACCCTATTTTACCTATATTACAAAATATCTCTACCTATTTATTGACTTACAATAACTTAATGAAAAGTAGTTTTAGTGTATAACTTACCTTACCCATAATTTATTTCACCGGTTTGTGATTTTTGTTTGAAGTACTCTCCACTTATCAGTTATTACTTATTGTTATTTGCTATCTGCAACAATTATCATCTCGTGATTAAACGCTTATCAAATTCCAGTTGCAAAATAAATTGATTTTTGCCTTTTCAAACAACCTCAAGTTCATTTCTAGGGCACTGAAAAACCATTTGAAAAGGTCATCCATGGAAAAGAAAAGAACAAATAGTTTTGAGGTAAAATCTTTATTATTCTCGTACTGATTGGATTACTTCTTCTTCAAGGCCGCCCAATATACCTTCAGTTCGTTGCCCTCCCAATCGAAAGGTTTGGTCAAAACACTGAAAAGGAAAAACAATCAATTTACATAATACTTTGATAGAGAGGATCGTGAAATTAGCCAACACATAGAGCTGGGGAAAAAGGAGAAAAATCGCCGTGGAGCACGAAACGAAGAGTTGGAGAGACCAACAAGTTCAACCTCTAGTCGGGGGGAACCGAGGTGGAGATCCCGCTCAGTGGGAAGTGGCCAGTAATTGACGGGGAGTGGAGACGGGGAAGAGGTTGTCTGGTGCCTACTGCACCGATGGCCAAGATTGACAATGATCATGCCACACACTCATATGTACAACTAACCGAGGAGCGGACCCCCCCCCCGCTAACCGCAGGGAGGTGGAAATGATGTAATGGTAACATCGTATCCGAGTTGCACAATTTTCGCTGTGCCGCTTTTGGCCAACTTCCGAGTCGGACACTCACTTTTCTTTCAGGTACCGCAGCACTTCCTGCTCCTTATCGTTGAGGCCCAGTTCGAAGGCCTCCAGGTTGATCCGCAGCAGTGGGCGCGTCTGCATGCCCGTGAGGAAGGTGCTCACCCCGGGCAGTCCCTTCATCGTGTAGAACATGGCCAGTTTGCCCAGCTCCACGCCGCGTTCCTTGCAGACCTCCGAAGCCTTCCGGGCAATGGCCTTCTGATCATCGCTGGCCGGATGCCACGGCTGGGGTCCGGCATTGGTCAGCAATCCAAGGGCGTGGGCCGCAGCGCAGATGACTCCCAGATTCTGGGACTTGAAAAAGTCCAGGTACTCCAGGAGCGTTTCGTCGGTCAGGGTGTATCTGGCATAGGTGAGAACAGTCTGTAAGAAATAAGAAACGAATCAATTTGGATTCGTCATAATACATTTTACATATTTTATTTAAAATATAGGTTTTCCCTATATACTTACATCGAATCTTCCTGCCGCTCGGGTCAGGCACTCTTTGAGTATCGAAATAGGATAGGCCGACACTCCAATAAACCTAGCCTTGCCCTCCTTGACCAACTGCTCCAGAGTTGGCAATGTCTCGTTGATGACAATATCCAGATCCTTGGCAAACTCGATGTCGTGAATCTGAATGACATCCACGTAGTCCAGGCCCAGCAGCTTCAGACTTTTCTCCACGCTTTCGCGGGTCTTCTTGGCGCTAAAGTCGAACATCTTCTCGTAGTCCAGTTCGTAGCGAGCCACTTTAGTGGCTATGTAGTACGATTCCCGAGGAACCCCCTTTAGCGCCTGGCCAAGGACCTCCTCAGAGCGACCCTGACCATACCAGGGGGCGGTATCAATGTAGTTGATGCCCGACTTTAGCGCTTCATGAACTGTCTGGATTCCCTCCTCCAGTTCAAAGCTGTAGAAAAAATTTAAGTGAAAAGTTTTTAAATTATATTTTAATATATCAACAAAAAATAAGCAAAAACTCAAATGTATTTTTTTATATTTAAAAGTGAAATTTTTACAAAAAAAACTTTCTATAGATCATAAAATATATTTTTTTCCGTGTACGAGTATAATTTAATTTGAGAAGATTTCTCTTACCCGTAGTTGGCGCAGAGGGCGCCGCCTCCGAAAGAGACTTTCGAGACTTCCAGGCCGGTCTTTCCGAGATTGCGATATTCCATGCGGCGCACCTTTGTCTCATCGTGGAAACCCTTCACATAAGTGGCCGGTAATGTTCCAGACATTTTTTATAATCCCTGTATATTTCGCACTCTGTTGAAATTCGAACGCCCGTCGGAACAGTACTGGCTAAAGATTGCCATATATTTAGCTTATATTCTGGAAATCAAAGAGTGACTCTTTATCAAAGAGAGCGTATAACGATAGTATTTATACAGGAGCGGTTTTAAAGTGTTTAAACAGATTATGCACACATATGTATGTGCATTAGGGCGGTCCACTTTTGTATGGAAATTTTTAAGGTTCTACTCTCACCCGGATATACAGTGCGCATTGTGGTATTCAAGGTATACCAAAGGAAAATTTTTGAAAAAATCGTGTTTTAGGGTCTGCGAATTGGCTTCAATGTTATTACCCATACGCACTGTTGCCTTCGTTAAAAAAGTTTTTCTAATCCAGGTGGCATAGATTTCAACAATTCAGTTGATGTTTTGGCCTCCCTTTTTTACAAATTATTCCAACAAAATTCATAATTTGACAATACAAGAAATGGGAGAACGATTTTTTTCGACCAAATTCGAACTGTTATACGGGTCGTATGAGTAATTTTTTAGGAAACTTTGAGGACGTTTCGCAAGGTCTAAATCACGAAAAAATATTTTTCTGTTTTCATTTATGTATGTACATTTTTTGCTTACTTTAAAATACCATATGTAGGGGTGAGAATATAATTTCATTTTTTGGACCGCCCTAATGTGCATATAAGTAACCACAATTAAGAGTGGATCGGGTTCTAAACTTCTCTCTTCTTAAGCTAAGAACAGTAGAAAATTTTGACGAGCGTTCCTTGTAAAGAGAGGCTGGGTAGAATTATCTTTTTCTAAACAGTAATTGGTTTTCATGACTTTCTTCTCTGACTCTCTTGCTGCTCTCACTCTTTTCTCATTACAAACAAACCGTCATTTATCAATTGGAGGGTTTGTGTAAACAAATGCTAGAATACTTCGAATACAGAAATATAATATAATCCAATCATTGACTTTTACCAGGTATAGACACCTGAACCTGCCCTGAGCTTATCTTGGATTAGAAAATGTTTGTTTGGTTATACACATGTGTATATTATTTAATTATAATTATAGACGCATAGGAAATTTATTTCAATTTAAACTTTCATAAGATCTTTTATAAAAAAATGTCTACAAAATAATTCAATTTAAAAACCAAATTATAAGTCCCATTTAGCTTAAACTTACTGAAAATAAGTTAAAAGAACTAAAAACTTTTACTTTACTTATATAAGTTTTAAAAAAAGTGAATATACATTTTCTTCGATCCAGCTAAAAAAGTAATATGCCGAAAGTAATGTAAAGTAATGTTTATGTAGCCTTAAAATCTTTATTAAAAAACGTTTACATTTTTCTAAGCTATTTAATTTTTAATAATTTTTATTTCCATAACTTTTTACATATATTAATGTTAATTTTAAATTCTTCCTGCATTTTCCGATGACTTCCTTGTCGTTTAAAGCCCAAGTTCGGCTATCCATTTTGAGTGTCCCCTCATTTGAACATGTTAACCGTGGACAAAGTGGAGCCCCAGCTATAGGACTTTGTGAAAACGCTGAAAACAATGAAAGAAAAAGTAATACATGAGTTTTGGCGATTGGAATGGAGATTGGACTTGAACAGTCTGGACTGGATCGAGTGACCATTAACCAGTTTGGTGAGGCTGAGGCCAAGTTCGTGCCCGTGATGCAATTGGTAACACCAAATTCGACTTGCACAGTTCCCTGTTCAGGTTGGCTGTTTAAGCCAACCAGTTGGCCAACTTACTTTTCGCGCAGGTACTGCAGCACTTCCTGTTCATGGGGAGTGAGTCCATCGAAGACGGCGTCCAAGTTAATCCGCAGCAGCTCTCGATTGGGGATCCCGATGAGGAAGGTGGCCGCCCCATCGAGTTGCATTGAATAGTACATGGCCAGTTTTCCCAGCTCCACGTTCCTCTGTTGGCAGATCTCGGCTCCCCGTTTGCCCACCGCCAGGAGTTCCGGACTGCCGGGATGCCAGGACTGAGGTCCAGCGTTGCTCAGCAGTCCCAGCGAGTGGGCGGCGGCACACACGATGCCCACGCCCAGTTCCTGGAAGGCCTTCATGTGACGCAACAGGGTGTTGTCCAACAGGGTGTAGCGGGCATAGTTGAGCACCACCTGGATGCGACCCTTGCCCCGTTCGGCGCACTCCTTCAGCACGTCCACGTCGTAGGCGGTGATCCCGATGAACCGGGCCTTTCCTGCCCGAACGTACTCTTCAAGAACGGGAATGGTCTCGTTTAGCACGATGTCCAGACTTGGTGCGGCGTCCACATCGTGAACCTGTCGATATATCAGGTGAGTTAGTTTATTAGTCAATAGTACATGTGGCTAAACCCACCTGTAGAACATCCACTCGCTCCAATCCTAGCAACTCCAGACTCTTTTTCACACTCTCCCGGGCCTTGGCAGCCGTATAATCGAACATCTTCTCGGGATCCAATTCGTACCGCGCCACTTTGGTGGCTATATAGTAGGCTTCCCTGGGAACATCCTTCAGCGCCTGGCCGAGCAGCTCCTCCGACTTGCCTTGACCATAAAAAGGGGCTGTGTCTATGTAGTTGATCCCGGATCTAATGGCCTCCTGGACCGTGCGAATACCCTCCTCCCGATCAAAGTCGTCGGAGAAGAGTTTCGAGAGGGTGGCTCCTCCCAAGGCGATTTTCGAGACTCGCAGTCCCGTGGAGCCCAGTTGACGGTACTCCATACGACGCACCAGCTCCTCATTGTGGAAGCCCTTGACAAATGTGGCTGGCAGCGATCCCGACATCTTCCACTGTTCAATTGACAAACTAAAATAGTAGAAATGCCCAGCAATAATGCGCTTTTATATGCTCTGAGCTCTGGGTTTTCAGTTGTAGATAAGAACTTTCGGTGTATTTTCAATATGTATGAGTGGGTTTTCTATATAGATTCGTCTCTCTTAGCAAGCTTCTCTTATTGATAAGCTAGGGAAGAGAATTCGCACTCTTTATTATACACCCGGTTCTCGTAAATTCGTAATTCCCTGTGAGGTACACATGGTACCTACACAGAGAAAAAAAAGGAACAATATGGAACTGATATTGTTTCATATCAATTTTTCCATAACAAAATGGTATGTTTTCATATCAATATGGTACAAAATCATATGTTTGGAAATATCATTTTGATATGAAAACAGAATTCCAAAATTGATATGAAAAAATACCCGATGGATGATTATTTTTGGTCTTTTTTTTCTCTGTGTACATCTGTACATGTTTCTTATCTCTCTCTTTTTTTAATCGGTATTGCATCTTTCTCCCTAAAAAAATGTTATCATTTTATAGCACCAACCTCTTGTAAGATTAATAGTTGAATGCCCATTAAATTGTTAAAAAATTTCTAGAAATAAAACTAATTATTTCACAATATTCCTTCGGGTATCCCAAAGTCAGTTCCACATTTTTTTAATACTATTTATTTTATTTATCAGAGAAGATTCTGAGCTGGCTTCCAATCAATTGACAAATCGTTAAGAGTAAATATAAATATATGCTTTATATATCATATGCATGAGATAGGGACGAGCACTCCTCTCCACTCAGAAGAAGACATCGAAGTCGCCCTGTGGCTGATAGCCAGCTCCGGGAGGGATCAGCTGAGGTCGCTGCTGATTCTGGCGCTGTGGTCGGGGCACGATGATGTCGTTGATCTCGTGGAGAATGCCATTGGTGGCCACCACATCGCACTTGGTGACGCCGGCGTTCTCGATCTTCGGGCGGCGATCGCGGGTGATGCGCAGATGCTGGCCGGAGATGGACTCGATGGAGCGGACAAAAGGCCAGTTGGTTGGGATAATGCCGGCACAGCAGACGACATCCTCAACGATGTGGGTCTTGACCAAGGCCACGGGATCGGTGGGCTTGGAGCCCTCGCCCGATTCGGTCAGCTCCTCGAAGACATCGTTCTTGGGCACCAGCAGGGTGAGACTCCTCGAATCGTTGGACAGCAGCTGGGTGAGATTGGCCTTGCGGACCAGTTCCAGGAACTTGCTGTAGTTGGGATTGGCTTCCAGAAGTTTCAGCATGTTCTGTGGGGAATTAAGAAAAATTATAAATAATATTATTATGGTAAATCCCCTTATTAAACTCACATTCTTGGGCGGAGCCAGGGCGCGATCCACCTGATGCAGAACGGAGCCACAGCTCTCGTCATCGAAGTGCACCAGGCGGGCACAGTTGACCGTGGCGCGGTTCATCACATCCGAGAAGAGGGCGTGGGTGGAGTAGAGGTTCAGACGCACACTGGATCCCGCCACAGTGGGCAGCGATTTCTCCGACAGATCGCAGGTCTTGATCATGGGCTTGACCACATGGTAGTTCAAGAACTCCAGCAGATCCAGATTGTGGTCCAACAGCTCCGGCTGCTCCTTGAGCAGGCGAGCCCACTCCGTGTGCTGCAAAGCCTTGTCGGTGGGTGCGAAGATGGTCACGTTGTCCAGGTCATCGAACTGATCGTCATAGCCGGAGGCCTCCAGCAGACGCTGGAAAATAGTCAGGTTCTTCTGGGACATTAGCGAGGTCATGGGCAATGCGGATTCGGTGGGCAAGATGGTATCGATGACGTGCAGGACCCCGTTGGTGCCCATGATATCGGCGTCTATGATCTTGGCCAGATTATTGATGTAAATGGGAGCGGGACCAGTCTGATTTGCAGCCAGGTGAGTGCGATTGAGGAGCAGCGGTTCTCCCAGCAGATTGTAGGCCGTCGTCTTGGCGCCAGGAACAGTGGCCACCGAACAGAAGGTGAGGTCCAGCAAGTGGTTCTTCAGGATGTCTAAGGGTTAAATGGGGAATATATATTTATTTTATTGTTATTATTATATTATTGTTAACTCACTTGAGGCACAACCACGCCCCTCCTTGAGAGCACGTCGCAGATGCGGTTCCAGCTTGTCGAAGGCGGCATCGGTGGGCACAAAGATGGTGACCGGCTTGTCATCCTCCAGCATGGCACTCAGGTTGGTCTTCTCCAGGACGGTGCGCATTATGGACATATCCGCCCGCTCCCTGATGATGTCCATGATGTTCTTGGTCAGTGGCTTGAGCACTCCGCCCAGGGTGTGGACGAGGGCCTGCTCGGAGAGCTTGTCGTGCTTCTCGATGGGCACACAGTTGGCGGCGTAGCGGTAGGGCTCCAGGTTCAGGGCCGCCGGCAGCTGGTAGCTGTTGATCCGAATCTTCTGGTCGGGCAGCTCCGTCTGCAGCAGCTTCTCATTGGGCACATCCTCCAGCTGAACCTCGCCGAGAACAGCGTGCAGCTTGTAGATGGAAGGCTTGGAGGCTTCGGACTTGGAATCTTCTACATTCTGTTGGATTTGGAGAACAAAATTGGTTGGTATTACTGTGAACTTGTTTATGCATTTTAAAATCCATATTAAAAGGCCTTACCTACTTTTAACTTAAATTTATAAATAAATTCGATATATAAAACTTTAATTTATGTCAAAACTAAAATAACTGTCTAATTTATAATTTCGAATTAAAAACCCCATTAGTTGATTTAATTGTTCTTGATTCTAGTTTTCTAAAATCTCAAAAAAAAAATCCTAAAAAAAAATGAGTGATATTTAGTGAATAAATATTATTACCAATATTACATTCTCAACCCTGCCTATAGTGACTAGATAACTACTCACATTCTCCTGCTGATGGTGACCGCGATACTCGGTAAAGGCGGCGTCATTGGGCACGAAGAGGGTCACCTTCTTGCCACTGCCTCCGCCGAGCATCTCGGCCAGCTCGCCGGCAGTGCGGGCGCTCTCGAGGAACTGCTTGGCTCCCATGTCGCCGGCCGTGGCCTCCACGTCCTTGATGTCGATCTTCTCGCAGGGCGTTGTGAAGTCAGCGTTCCTGGGGCGTCCGTATCCATAGCAGCACTGGCGGGTCAGCGTCAGCGTTTTCTTTTTGCCGTTTTGATTGACGCTGCAGGGGAAAAATATTCCATCAGTTGGTTAATATTAGGTAATCATCCCCCCTCCGGTAATCCACTTACATCTTGGTGCAGACGTGCTTGTTGGGCTTCTCGGCGCAGGAGTTAACGCTGAACTGGAATTGGCCAAAGAGTGGGGATCGCACCACGTTGGTAACACCATCACGTTCCTGGCCAAAGGTGTCCACAGTTTCTTCAGCCTCCGTCTCGGTGGCCACGGTCTCGTCTTCCTCTTTCTCGGTGCACACATTGGGTCTGAAAACATCGCAATATTAGTGGTTGGTTAACAGATTATTGTGGTAATCGTTGGGGAAGTGGGTTGGTTCAATAGTTCACGGCTTTGAATTATACCATAATGGTTACAAGAAATATTAAAAAGAAACGCCAGAGAATAAATCAAACATTTCCGCTAAGTTTTTAAAAGGATTTAAAAGAGGCCAAATTTTTGGTCTAATCATTAATAACCCGGTACATATGTATACGATTTTTAAAAGAGTTTAAATGTGGCATAATTTTCAAATTCATAGCTAAACGTTAAATAATTTTAAAGTACTGATATTTCTCTTGTTCATTTTTCTAGAAATTCTTTTATATCGTTCTTTAGGCAAACCCACAAATTCCTTGCTAATTAGTTAGTCATATATCAGAAGTGCGAATTCGAATGTCAATGTACCTACTTTTTGCCTATCATTTTGGCTCAACCCCATATATTTATTAGCTCATATCTCCGAAACGAATCAAACTTAGTTGGTTCATCAGCACTCGCTAACCGAGTGTTTGCCAAATGGATTTGCACAATGATCCGTCATAGAAAGCCTAGTTGTACTATACAAACATACTTCTATATAAAAAAGCTCGTGTGTTGGGCTAACAGCTTTGCCAGTCCATCAATTCAATTATGGCAACGATGAGACTCCTCGCATTTTTGTTTTTGAATGCGAACTCATTGTGTGCGTAGATTTTAGAAATTTCCCACTGAACCATAGCTACAAATATACATATGGGTTTTTGTGCAGCTAATTTTTCAATTTGCCACATCTCTGACTTTCATTTTACTATGCCCACAACAACGAGTTCATCGCACACTGCGAAAACGGCGACGAGTTAATTTCACAATTTAGAAAAGTGCAAGCTCGGCTGTACAAACGATGTACATGTGCACTTATCCAATATAGTAGTCACTATATATTCATTCACATTCCTTATATACCATGCCAATTAATCGAAGCAACAATCGAGCCCTAGAAATATTTAGCAGCCTCAGCTGCTAGTAATCTTGGATGGAAAATTATTTAAGTAGGTATTTATTATTTAATTGATATGCTCGATTGCCTCCACAATGGCGATAAGCCAGCCAACTTTACACAATTAGAGAATACTATTGAAGACACAATACATTATACAATCTCGTATATTTAATAGGTCGAATGAACTTGACATTGTGCTCTCTTAATTGCCAAATGCCAAGAACGGCCAAGTCAGAAGCAAAAATCACTCGTGTGCGGTGATTAGGAAAGACGCGAAACTTACTGACCATAACTGGGGGAATTTTCAGCAATCAATGTTTTAGGATCAATGGTACTGGTACTTACCCCTTCCACCAGGGCTCCTGGGCAGCACCAAAGCCGAAGCCGCCAAAGGAATTGAAGAACTCATTGCCAAAGAAGGGGAACGACTGCTGGAAGAATATGGCTGGATTTGGTGCATTCACATCCGTGGTTATGGTGTCCACATCTGCGAAATAAGGAAACGCAATTAAATGATTAAGATTGTCTCACAAAAGAATACATTTTAATTTTAATTCGTCTCCGGAAATGATTATTCCTTTTCTACCTTTTAAAATATTTTTACATT